GACCAAACTCTGTGAAGTACTTTGAGATACTTCGACACAAAAAGGCACAATGTCAAATGCAAGCATTATTAGTAGTATGATAATAAGAATAATACTGTGATGATAACTTGCTCTATCATAATAATCCTTGCATTTGATATAGCGCCTTATCATATCGTCAAGATGTCTCAAAGCGCTTCACACTGTAAAGTGAATTGACTGTATATTTTGTGGGTGATAAGATGCTATATCAAATTGCAAGGATTATTATATCATATATATATTTCATTCATTATTGCAGAGGTGTGAGCAACTTGCTGCCTGTGACTGGAAAGAACAAAATTGTATACAGTACATTGCCTGTGTATTTTGTGGGCTAAACGCGGAAGCCAACGGCGCACAGGATTATCCCACAAACAGTCGTGGATTGAGTGACCAAAAATTCCTTATTTTTAAGGAATTCAGATGCGATCTGAAGAGGGGAAAAGGGGGAAGGGTAGAGGTAGGGAGCATCAATTAGCAGGGAATGCACCACAATGGTAGCAATATGATTGATGCCTGTGGACACAATGGCTGTAGATCATAGGGACAGAGCAGGAAATAGCTCAAACTGATCCAAAAGATTAAAAGGCCCCAAATTAAACACCGTTTCCGTGTTAATGAACATGCGGCTGTACACCTAGGAGGAGGAGGATTCAAATGAGGAAAACTATTGCTGAATCACCCTCAGTAAAAAAAAGGACTGGTTGTTTAAGAATAGACTTTCCAACGTCAGGCTCGGCAAGCGAGTTTGCACAAAATGTAGTAGCAGGCCAATTGAGTAAATAAAGCTGTCTCAGAATACTGAGGCTTTGCTGTTTCCACCCTGGGGAGCAATGTACCATATACAATTTCGTTCTTTCCAGTCACAGGCAGCAAGTTACTCACACCTCTGCAATAATGAATGAAATATATACATGATATAATAATCCTTGCAATTTGATATAGCATCAAAATGTACATCACCCACAAAATGTACAGTCAATTCACTTTACAGTATATCCTGTGAAGCGCTTTGAGAACGTCTCGAAGACATGATAAGGCGCTGTATCAAATACAACTATTATTATTATTTGTTACTGCTCTTTCCTTAATGTGTATCAATGTAAGGCCCCATTTCGAACTGCTGTCAAATGCCTCCATCCAGTTAGAAGTAAACAGAATTTTCACAGCAGCGGTGTAATCTATAAAAGTATCTTGTGTGAATGTTTTTCATTGCTGTACCACTTACCATTCTTTTATTATTCATTTCAAGGCTGTTTGTGACACGTTGCTGCGCGTCTTTCACATTGGGAGGACGTCTCAAAGTACCTCGCGGGATTTTGCTTTAAAGTGTAGTGACTGTGTATTTTGTAGGCATGGGTAGCAGTCAGTTTGCACACAGCAATGTGCCATTCGAAGAGCATCACGGGATCTTCAACGTTCATCTGAACAGGATGTCAGAATCGAGCCATCCCTCTGTGGTAGTCCGGTTCCTGAGCCAAGCGAGTCCGCAACACTGGATAAACACGGATGATGACAGCACAGCCAATCTGCCTCATCGGCAGGACCTCAAAGGGCAGACCAGTCACTGGGGGCAGGGAATCCTCCCACTCAGCCCCTGTTAATCCTGCAAACCAAATCATTAACGACTAGGATGGTCCAGCTGGACAGCAGCGGGAAAGCTTGCCAGACAGCCCTCTCAATGGCAAGCGATGTGGTTTTAGCGGGTTAGGTTCAGCAGTTACCCCAACCCACACTCTGTGTCCCCAAGCCTTGGCTCTTGTCAACCTGCGCCTAATACTTTCCGGAATTAGGTAATCAGGATGTGCCTCTCCAGGGAGAGAGAGTGCGTTCCATTCCAACAAACTATCTCTGGGATTTCCATGTGTCGGTGGGATAAATGGATTCTCAGCTTGGTTTGGAAGCTTTTAAGCACGGTGATGGGTTTTCGTATGTGTCAGACACCCGGCTGACCAAAACAAATTGGATTAAAACAAAAGCCCCGTCAGCTAAATTTTCAGTCCCCAACCCCCGGCACTTCCATTCATCAGCTCTGCGCTCCCTCCCTCCTTAGCCCTCCTATTCTATTCCCCCTTTATTACCAGACTGGCTTAGATCAACTAACTCAGGACACACTGAATTAATCAAACAAGAGACTTCAACGAGGAAATGAGTGCATGGAACCAGCTTGAGGCGACAGAACCAGAAATCTGGTCACAAGTGGTTTCACACCAAAATATGCAATCCTTTCGGTCAGCCTAACGCTGCTTAAATATCAAATATTCCCAGCATCTGGCTCTAGAACAGTATATGGTATGGTTTTCTGTAAGCATACCTTACGCATTATGTAATGCGGTAATATATTCAAGATGCAAGACCGTTTCCACAGGCAATTATTGCATTTCATTTCGCGAGCCACTGATGACTGCAAAACACTGAAATTAGGGAATTTGCTGAATTGGCGTTTTTTTCTTTTTTTTTTGAAAAAAGCTAAGAAGAAGATCGCACTTCCAACCCAATCGCAAAGATCATCACGTCACTTCGGCCACAAAACACAGTCACTCCACTTTACTCGATATTCTGTGAAGCGCTTTGAGATGTGATATGGTGCTACATCAAATACAAGGATTATTAGCATTATTGCGTGCAATTGGCCGCTGTGTTTCTCCCACAAAATGTACGGTCAATTCATTTTATATTCTCTGAAGCACTTTGAGACGTCTCAACGACATGATAAAGTACTACATCAAATGTAAGGATTATTATTATTATTATTATCACCACCGACATGGCACAGTGATAGACATCCTCATCAACAGAGGTGAATTTGTGGTTTGATGCAATTTCACTGGTGAACTGCTTTACCTGCTGTAGTATCCAGTCAGTCTACGTCTACAGGAACATCATTCAGGGAACAGCTGTTTTTCTCCAGGGCGTATCCTAGGAACATACAGGAACAGCAATAAGCCATTCGGCCCCTCGATCCTGTTCCACCATTCGATTATAATATAGTAGTAATCCTTGCATTTGATCTAGCACCAGTTCATGTCATTGAGGATTCTCACAGCGCTTCACAGAATATACTGTAAAGTGAATTGACTTTGTATTTTGTGGCCAATTACCCACAGCAGTGTCCCAAAAACAGTCGTGGATTGAGCTACAAATTATTATGATTTTTTAAAAGAGATTATTAGCCCCAGAAAAGCAATCCATCAATTGACTGACAACAACAACAAGATTACATTTGTATAGCGCCTTTCACGTCGGGAGGACGTCCCAAGGTGCTGGACAGTGTACAGCATTTCAGACCTGAGCTGGGGTTGGATTGGGGTGGAGGGGGGGGGAGGGAGAAGGGAGGGGAGGGGAAAGGGGGTGGCCGATGGCATGGTCGAAGAGGAGGGTCTTGAGGCGGGACTTGAAGGAGGCTAAGGAGGGGGACAAGGCGGAGTGATTGGGGGATGGAATTCCAGAGGTTGGGGGCAGAGCGGCTGAAGGCTCTCCCGCCAATGCCAATGTTGGGTTCCTGCTTACTACGAGGTAAACAAGGGCATGTGGAGTAGGGAAACTGCCCGGGAATCAATCGCTTGCAATTGCTCTAACTCGTAACCCTCAGGACTCCAATTTTTTGTTGTTTTAAGGCATTATTACAGAAAAAATGTATAGCAATGAATCAAATAACAGCAGTGACCATTAACAGAAGTTTTTGTGAATTAAAAATTAAAATTTTATATACAAAATCCTCATTACATGTAAAACCCAATGGAAGTTTTCTACACAAACAGACACCAAGATTGAAGACCCCAGTTACCACAATAGGTCTAACACCATGGTCACCCTGACAAGCTATTACACAGTGCGTCATAAAGTTAACCGACTAATATTTTACTGCACGTAAATCTGAAGAAACTGTACATGAAATTATTTCCATTAGCGAGATTCAACTACACTCAATATTATTTAATACTGTATAAAGAAGTTACAAGTTGGTCCATTGTTAAAAAGTATATACCAGGTATAAAATTTTCCACAGTCTTTTTTTAAGCCAAGATCTTAATTTTCCTTTACAAAAAGATAAAACATAAAAAAAATTTGTCACATTGCGTCAGTACCACAAATGTCACTTCCATGGTCATGGTGGAAAAACGAGTTTAAACGTACCCAAGTCGATGCATTAAAAAAACTATTTTCGGCTGAAGTCTAGAGGAACCACCTCACAGAGAGAGAGAGGGAGAGAGAAAGAGAGAGAGAGAGAGAGAGAGAAGCACATGCCAAACTGCTGAGAATGCTTTGGCTCCACATTTTGATTAGCATTACATTGTAAATAGTTGACGCGGTTACATTCAGGATCCGACGGGTTTCATAAAGTGATCACTGGCAAATCAACAGCAGGAACAGCGCCTCAGATTGATAAAGCAGGTAACCCCATACACACGGAGACATGTAAGCGGGGTCTCCCCGGAGCTGAACTGGCTCCAACGTGACATATCTGGCAATGGAATGTCTGAATCGAGCCGACCCTCTCTGGTGGTCTCGGTGGTCCGGTTCCTATGCCAGGTGGGTGCACAGTATTCCAGGGTACTCACTGCTGATGACAGCACAGCACAGCCTGGTTCATCAGCAGGACCTGGAAGGGCCGACCGGTCACTGGGGGCAGGGAATCCTCCCACTCAGCTCCTGGTAACCTTGGAAGCCAAAGCCCTAATGGGTAGGGTGGTCCTAGCTGGAGAAGCAGCGGGAAAGCTTGCCAGACAGTGCTCTCAATGACAAACTATACGGTTTTAGCTGGTTAAACTCCACTGTGACCCCAACGCACACTCTGGGGTCCCCAAGCCTTGGCTCTTGCCAACCTGCGCCTAATACTTCCCTGAATTAGGTAAACAGGATGTGTCCCTCCAGGGAGAGAGAGCGCATTCCGTTCCAACAGTCTATCTCTGGGATTTCCACGTGTAGGTGGGATGCAAGGAATTCTCAGTTTGGTTTGGAGACTCTTAAGCACGGGGATGGGTTTCCACACGTGTCAGACACACGGCTGACCACCCCCACCTGCCCAAAAGGCTCCAAACAGTTCTCAGATTGTTCAGAGGTGGTGAGATATAAATGAGGGCTCCCCACAGGACACATGTTTCATGTGCCCGGGCGCACATTCACACACAAGCCCCCAGTTATATTGCTGTTGTCCCCGATGAATACTTTTCAACCCCAAGTCTTAATTTTAAAAACACCCGTTTACTCACAATACTACGAGATATTTCAAAGCTAAATATTCTACTCTTGTAGCTGTTCACATACGCCAGTGTTATGCTTTCACACTTGGCGGGGCTTCACATTCCCATGTGCATATTGGCGAAGTTATAGAAATTGTCCACATCTTGAGCTGCTGACGCCTTGTTTTCTGAGACAAAAATCTATTGAGAAAACAGAAAAAGAGAACACTTTTAATACATTTCACGCTTTCCCCCCTTGAAAGCCCTGACCTAACAAACATCTGTCCACCTCAGTCTTGAAAATTTGAATGGATCCAACATCCACAGCCTTTTGGGGGAGAGAGTTCCAGATTTCCGATAGCGTTTGTGTGAAAAAATACTTCCTGATTTCACTCCAAAATGGCCCAGCTCTAATTTTAAGATCATGTCCTCTTGTTCTGGATTCCCCCACCAGAGGTAACAGTTTCTCTGTACTCAAACTGAGAAGATGGAAGGGTCAATGGACAGCAAAACTTTACACAGACAGTAGCTATATATGGCCCAAAGAGGTGAATATTGTGGAGTTTCAACAGGAATAAAATGGATACTTTTTAGGATAAGAAAACTAGCAAAAGAAATTTAAGTGCAGTATTACATATAGTACAGGACACAATCCCAGACTTAATAAAGACTTGAGATGTAAAAGGCAATGCTGAATGAATAACATATTTTTGAGGAAAGATTATTACACCCAGAAAGCGATCCACCAATCGAATAACAACCGGGTTCCTGCTTACTGCTGGGTAATCAGAAGCGTGTGGAGTAAAGAAATTTGCCTAAGGTTTGTAAGATTGAACTGATACACAGTGCCTAATCTGATGACAGTAAAGAATGAGATCACGTCAACACCTGTTCTGGTCTGTACCTACTGAACTAGTTACTAACTCCGTACGTTCAGGGACGTGGGCAACTGGCTTCACAAAACGATATTGTTTCCCCAGAGCGCATTCAGTAGAATTAGAAGAGTGTAGTTACCTCGCAACTGCTGAACATAGAATCAACCACAGACTGGCATGTCTCCACTGCACCTTCCCCGTTAAACTCTAAGGCAACCACAGGCCCTGTTAAGATTAAATTATACACATGTTAAGTTATCAAATATGACTTTTATTTTCGACGCACAAATTGAACAAATGGTGTACAGTAGATATAAGGGAAATCACAAGAACATAAGGCTTTGCTGGCAAAAGAAGACCAAGGTCCATCTAGTTTTCCTTCCACCATCCTGGCAGTTCGCTTGACATGTCGTGTCCCAAACTATACACTGTATCCCCAGATATTATTTTCTATCAGAAATCTATCTAATTTGTTCTTGAAACAAACAACATTTTCTGCTTCCATCGTCTCCCGAGGGAGCCTGTTCCTTTTTGAGTGCAACTGTACGTTTCGGAGTTTTATTAAAGGGTTAGTCTCGGAAGTGTTAAATTTAAAGCCTTGAGTAATAACAGAAGATGGGGGTGGAGAAAGACAGGAAGGAAATCAGCCAGGCTTCCCACGCTCTCTGTCCCTCTGATCTTTAGCCAGTGGCCATTCCTGTATCGTCTGGTGAGTGAATGAGGCTAGAACCTGTCTTGAGGGCAACATCACCCCCTCACACCAGGCTGAATATTCTGCTCGGACCACTTTCACCGAGGCTCATACACGAAGCATGTCACTTGGGTAAAGTGACAGGTGCTCATGGAACCGTACTTCAGTGCGAATTAGTACCTCAGCAAAGGGTTTAAAAAAAATACTTAAAATATATAATTGACTGAAAGTGCAGAATAGCGCACAAAACAGAACAGCACACAGCGAGGAACTGGGTAACACAGTTTGTGGTGATGTGGTCTTCTCGAAATTGAAATCTATCTACAAGAGTCAGATTTGTACTTTGTAAATGTTTACTCTCCCACAGGAAACTCTCTTGCCGGTTACAGACCCATTATTCATTCTAACATCGCAGGCAGCACGTCAGGATTAATCTGCACACCATAGTTTATCTGAATGCACAGCACACATCTATTCATCTGTACACCGCAAGCCAAGTTTACAGCTGTGGTGCACATTAATGCCAGGCAATACGATGAGCCTTTTTACTCAGAGTTTGAAGCAATATTAAAACTTGACGAATGCAGCTTTGGGGAAGCCGGAGATATCAATCTAATCGTTACGTGGCACAGTGGCCCCATTGACTTCACATTAGGATCACAGCAGCAGTGGTCTTTCTTGCCAATCACCACAGTACCTGCAAAACGTGCGAGTGTGTGAGTGACTAACACACGGCTAAATAATAATAATAATCCTTGCACTTGATATAGCTCTTTATCACGTCGTTGAGACGTCTCAAAGCACTTCACAGAATATATTATAAAGTTGATTGACTGTGTATTTTGTGGACGAAACGTGGCAGCCAATTGCGCACAGGAATCGAACCCGGTCCTCTCGCTTGCAAGGCGAGCATGCTAACTACTATGCTACCGGGTTCCACACAACATAAATATACAGAGAAGAAAGCCTGTTGCAAAACAGTTTACCTTTCTCGAGTAGCGAGGTAAATTCCCCTGCTTTCTGCTGAAATACTCGGTTGGCGTCATCGGTGTTCAGGACAATCTCTTTTGTCTGCACGAGCACAAACTTCTTCGCAGTCATCTTTTTTTTTAAAAAAGAAAAATATTAAATTAGTTTCTGTAAAATAAAAAGTCTTAAAAAAAACACTGCCACAATCTCTCTGGAGCATGTATACGAGTGTTGTTTAGATCCACATAATGGAAATGGCTGGATGAACCTGTAATAAATAAATACCTGAAAAGACTGACAATAAGGAGAGATGTATTACTATTCCCACAGTCAGAGACTATTTCTCCAATCAGGCCAGCGAATACCGCCCTTCAGACAGCTGATAGCACACATTGCACAAGAACAACTTGAATTTATTTAGCAAAAGAAATATTACCTCAACCTAAAGGCATGACAATTAAACAGTATAAGACTTAACAATTGATTTTAGCGCCTTCATGTCAGGACGTCTCAAAGCGCTTCACAGGATTTTACTGGAGGGTGTTTTGTAGGCAAACTCGCCGGCCAATGCTTTCACAGTAATATTATTATAATAATCCTTGCATTTGATATTGCGGCTTATCTTATCATTAAGACACCTCAAAGCGCTTCACTGAATATACCGTGAAGTGAATTGACTGTATATTCTGTGGGCAAAACACGGCAGCCAATTGCCACAAACAGTCACGAAGTGAACAATCAATCTTATCTGAGGCATTGTGGCCAGGACGCTGAGAGGAACTCCCTTGTTGGTTAAAGGAGGTAAAGAGATTGGAAGGCTCTACAGAGAGTAGAGGGAGGAGGTCTGAGTGTTGTACACAGAGCAGCGAACTTGGCAATAAGGTATGTGAGAACACTGGTGTGTATTGTAGTATCGTCCTCTACCGCAGAAGACAGACTACAATAAGAGAAAGAGGCAGGAATAGATATTGGTCGCAACTTACTCGGCACTATTTCAAGCGAATCAGAGCGTGACCGGCGTAATCTGATGTCCATTGTTAAACTCTCTGGAAGTTCTGTTTTCGTTAAAACAGCCTTTATAAACTTTGAAGCCACAAAAGTCAAAGTTCTATCCAGTGGAACGACACGGAGAGAAATCTCGCCGGGAGGGTATTACCAAGCCTGGCCACGTGGGGGTGCCGATCGATCAATACCAAGTCGTTAACCCAGACTACTTTAAAGCGATCATATTGAAACATCCTCTTTTTTTTTAGTTCCCGCCTGGGTAAGTTTCTGGAAACTCCCGCCCGCCAGTTGCCTCTGAGTCATCGGGGCCCAGGCGCAGAAGAAACCTGAAAATAAAATGTACTTACTGGATCAGCAAGTGGATCAGACCCTTTCGTGTCTGAATTCTTGAGTGTCCTGCACTCCGATTTTTTTCATTCTGCACCGAAGGTGGCATAAACTCACCGAAGTATAATTCACAGTAAAATAAATACTTGTAGTTGGAACAGTGCCTCATGACCAAATAGGTCAAAGGGGCTTCACTCGAGGTACCTTGTTCGCCCACAAAATACACAGTCACTGCACCTAACAGTATATCTTGTCGGACGTCCTCCCAACATGACTGGCGCTACACCAAATTTAAGGATTATTATTACTATTGTTGTAATAATAATAATCCTTGCATTTCATATTGCGCCTTATCACGTTGTTGAGACGTCCAAAAAGGCTTCACAGAATATATTGAAATGTAGCGTGACTCTAATTTTGTGGGCGAAACGAAGCAGCCAATTGCTCACAGCAACGTTCCACAATCCGTCTTGCATTGAGTGACCAATGTTATTTGAGGGATTATTCCCTCCAGGAAGCGTTCTGCCAACTGACTAACAACCAGGTTCCTACTTATTGGGAGAGACAGAGATGTGTGGAATAAAGGAACTTGCCTCAGGTTTTTCCCTGCTGGGAATCGAACTCGGGTCCTCACGCTTGCGAGGCGACGCTCTAACCACTACACTGCAGGACTCCTTTAGCCTTCACCGGATTTTTAAAAAAAAGCGCAGTGGTAACCTGGCTTCCGAATTACGGCTGGAAATGTGGGAAATTTGCACACTTAAAATTGTTAAAATGATTAATTAAGACAATGGTCTTAATAATAATCTTTGCATTTAATATGACACCTTATCACGTCTTCCGAGACGCCTCAAAGCGTTTCACAGAATATACTGGAAAGTGAATTGACCGCCTACTTTGCGGGCAAAACACGACAGCCAATTGCGTAGAGCAGACAGCAACAACGTCTTGCATTTATATAGCGCCCTTTATACAGGGGAGCAATTCTTAAGGCTAAGGCCATTAAGATGTTTTAGGCGACCGGTGCATTTGTGGGCGCTGAGCTGATCTTGAGGGACCTTTGACAGACACTCACAACAGGCCCTCCATCAGTGAAACAGGCACTCTCAATTGGCTTCTACAATCCAAAAGGCCTGACACAACTCACTATTAAACTACAAAGGGGAGGGTGTGGTGTACATTGTATAACGAATTGGAGCAAGGGCGGGTAATTGGACTTGAGGTATAGATAAGCCATGATCTTACAGAATGGCGGAACAGGCTCGAGGGGCTGAATGGCCTACTCTTGTTTCTATGATTGCAAAGGCTTTTCTGCTGCTGATAACACAGACGTCTATGGAGACAAAAGCAGAGATGCAGTTCACAAGGCTCCTCTGTATTGCCTGATGGGCAGAGAGCGCACATGGCAGCACAGCTCTGGTGACAAACTCTCAGTATCCCAGATGTTTGAAGGCGAAACGAATTGAAGATTTGAAATACTCTGATCATTTAGTGCTTAACAACCGATACGCTGAAGATGTATCATTACACTGCAAACATGAAATACGCTGCAGGTGTCCGAGATGCACATCATATAAATAATAATAATCCTTGCATTTGATGTTGAAGATTGTCCAATGCATTGCAGAGCCTACAGATAAGCACTATGATTTTCTCATCTTTGTTGTTGATCTCATCTGCTTCCCTGTGATTGATGGCTTGCAGGTGGTGAACAACATGGGGAGGGAACAGAAGAATAATAATCCTTGTATTTACCTTATCGCGTCCTTGAGACGTCTCAAAACACGTCACTGAATACCTTAAATTGCATTGACTGTATATTTTATGGGCGAAACACGGCAGCCAATTGCACACAGGAGTGTTCCACAAACAGTAGTGGATTGAGTGAGCAAATTATTATTTATTTCAAGAGATTATTACCCCCAGAAAGTGATCCTCCAATCGACTAACAACCAGGTTCCTACTTACTGCTAGTAAACAGAGGAGTGTGGAGTGAGGAAACTTGCCTGCAGGGTTTCACCCTAATCCTCTCAGCTACAATCAATCGAGTGCGCATGGTCAAGGAGGTTTTAAAAGAAAGGAACATAAGGGTAGAAGCAAACTCGCACGTCACTGTGATGTTGGCAAATTTCCAGTGATGGAGCCACAGAGCCGTATATATTCGTCTCAGTTCATAGCGACACTGAGGATCTTATTTTGAAATAGAAATAAATAATCCTCTTATTGTAGGCTTCAACCCGATACCTTAACAGGATGAGCTACGTCCACATTTAGTTTTTAAGTCACAATTCCTCAAGTAGTCTTGTTTCATTTTTTTAAAAAAAACACTGAAGAACAGTGTGTATAAGGAAACGGAATACCTACCAACTCTTAAACATGAATCATGTACACGAAGCTAAACAGTCAATCAGCTAAAGAGGGCAAAAACTAGAATTTCACACTGTACAACATTTGAAGGTAATCTGTTTACCGAGCAGTCAGTAGTTAGTCGAATGGCGGATCACTTTCTGAGGGCAATAATCCCTCCTAAAAAAAATCATAATAATTTGGTCACTCAATCCACCACTGTTTGTGGGACGCTGCTGTGCCCAAGTGGCTGCCGCATTTTGCCCACAAAATACAAAGCAAATTACGTTACAGTACATTCTGCGAAGCGCTTTGAGACGTCTCAACAATGTGATGAGGCGCTATATCAAATGCAAGGCTTATTATTATTATTATAATACAAATCGCAGGGGAAGAGGGAACTCCGAGCTCCGATATTAAATATTACAAGTTTTTACTGCTCTGTGTTCGTCTCCTCCTGGCCTTTGCTATTTGAAGATCGAAATTAGTCTGACTGACAGATGCTCAAAACTGACCGGATATTTCTTGTCAAAGGTCAATCGTACCCGAGCTCTTTTTCCATCTGAGCTGATATCCGCTTGCTTCCTGTTTCCAACGTGTACAGCCTTCGCCTACCACTTCCAACCCGTCAGCAGCACATTTTATACTCGTTTAAGAACCTCACAAATCACCTAAGAATGGGCGACACTTGAACGACTATAAAGCATCGCCCGTTCTTATACAATGGATAACATCAGGGAACACAGGAAAAACCGTCACGACGGGCTGTTCTCCCCCTATTCCTCCCACCTCGCCCCATTTCTTGTGAGCTCTTTGACAGCTTTTCAATCCGGTTACTAATTTTACCATTGACCTTTCTCCCCCCGCTAGAGGTCTGCTCGTTACTCGAGAGTGGGCTCTTCTACAGTCCTGCAACTTAAACACTAACTTCCACCTTAGGTTCCTGAAATCTAATTTGCTACAGCGCCTTCCACACCAGGAGGAAGTCTCGAAGCTCCTCGCAGGATTTACTCTAAAGTGTAATGACTGTATTTTGTAGGTAAACTTGCGGACTTTTGGGACAGACCACACCCTGCCCGTTTGTGGTTTCGCCTCGAGACACTTCACTGTAAAATCCTGTGGAAACTGCTTTGAGATGTGTTCTCTCGACGTGAAAGGCGCTACCCAAACATCAGGAGGGCGGTCAGTGGTCGGAATGTGGAGGGTTCTCACAAAAACTTTGGTGAAGCAGAGTCCTTCGATTCTTAGAAAAGAGAATTGTGAAGAGGAAGAATATTTATGAGGAGCGAACAGGAGCAGAATTGCATCCGACTTGATGGGAGGTATATTCCGTGAAGCGCCTTGAGACGTCTCGAATACGTGATAAGGCGCGGTATCAAACGCAAGGATTATTATTACAGGATATGGAAAACAACAACAACAACTTGGATTTATATAGCGCCCTCCACGCCGACGGCGTCGCAGAGCGCGTCACAGTAACGGATCCCGGGGACGAGCCGGGGGAGGGGGAGGAGCCGGGGGTGAGGGTGGGGGGAAGGTGACCAAAGGCGCGGTTGAAAAGAAAGGTCTTCAGCAGAGACCTGAAAATAGGAAGGGAGGGAGCGAGGAGAAGGGAGTGAGGAAGGCAGTTCCAGAGCCTCGGGGCGTAGTGGCTGAAACATTACATCAGAGACGCCAGCCTTCAGATGGAACGTTAAATCGAGGTCCTGTCTGCCTGTTCAGGTGCATGTTAAAAGATCCCATGACACTAATGGAAAACAGAAGAATTTCTGCTGCAATGCTCAACAACACATACATAATAATAATAATAATAATAATCCTTGCATTTGATATAGCGCTTTTCACGTCGGGAGGACGTCCCAAAGCGCTTCACAGAACACACTGTAAAGTGAATTGACTGTATATTTGTGGGCGAACGCGGCAGCCAATTGCGCACAGCAATGTCCCACAAACCGTCGTAGATTGAAAATAACCAATTTTATATTGTTTTGGGTTTTGGAGGGATTATTATTAGGCTCTGTGTGGAGTAAGGAAACTTGCCCGAGGTTTGGCCCATACACATAAAGAGTTACGTAACACAGAATGGAAACAAGCCATTTGGCCCAACTAGTCTGTGTCAGTGTTTGTAGCCCAGAGGAATCTCCACCCACTCCTTACTCCCTTCTACAGATAATCCTCTGGAGAAATTGGTCAATTCATGACTGGTTGAGGACAAATTATCTGCCCATTTACCGACAAATTCACAGCCACTAAACTTGACAGTAATTTTGAGATGTTTGGGTATTAAGAATAATGATAATCCTTGCCTTTGATACAGCGCCTTATCACGTCGTTGAGACGTCTCAAAGAGCTTCACAGGATATACTGTAAAATGGATTGACCGCGTATTTTGTGGGCGAAACTCAGCAGCCAATCTCACACAGTAGTTTTATTATAGGCGCTATAGGGAACAGGGATTATATAGGCACTATATCAAAGGCAGCTAATAATAATAATAATAATCCTTGCATTTGATATAGCGCTTTTCTCGTCAGGAGGACGTCCCAAAGCGCTTCACAGAACACACTGTAAAGTGAATTGACTGTATATTTGTGGGCGAACGCGGCAGTCAATTGCGCACAGCAATGTCCCACAAACAGTCATAGATTGAAAATGACCAATTTATTATTGTTTTGGGTTTTGGAGGGATTATTATTAGGCTCTGTGTGCAGTAAGGAAACTTGCCCAAGGTTTCGCCCTCTGCCTGGAATTGAACTCAGGTCTCTCACTTGCAAAGCGAGTGCTCTAACCACTGAGCTACAGGACTCCACAAAGACTCCACAAAATTTAGGTCCTATATCAAAAGCGAGGGGAAGCTGAATAGGCAGCACCCAGGCAAGCCTCTAACTTTCTTCAACTCTAGAGTACAGAAGAATTAGGGGAGATCTTATTGAAACATATAAGATTATTAAAGGGCTGATGTAGACACTGAGGGTCTGTTTCCCCGGTGGGAGAATCTATAACAGGGATTACAGTCTGAAAATTAAGGGTCAGCCTTTTAGAACAGAGTAGGGGAAACATTTCTTCACTCAGAGGGCAGTGAATTTATGGAATTCACTCCCCCAGAAGGCTGTAGATGTCAGTCCTTGAACATCTTCAAGGCTGAGACTGGTAGATTTTTTAAAAATAGAGGGATTAGGGGATATGGGGAGAGGGCAGGTAATTAGAGTTAGGTCAGAAGATCAGCCATGATCTTATCGAATGGCGGGGCACAGCCTCAAGGGCCGAATGGCCTACTCCTGCTCCTAATTCTTATGTCCTTATGTAACCCCCAGCAACACTGGCAAGCACACTGCTGAACACAACTGCAGGCAGTGTGGGTCAGAAGGAAACGCTTTAAAAGAAACTGCATTGAAATAACTTTGGGCCTCATGATATCCTCACCTCGTCAATCAGCTTCCTGGCATTAGCCGTGGTGTAATCGCCGGCAAAGAACACAACCAAGCACGACTCGTCGTTGCACTTCTGCTTCTGCCCGCAGGTGACCGGCACGATGCTTCTGTTCAGGTCCATGGAGATGCGAACCGACTTCAGCTCCTCGATGTCGGGCAACGGGACGAAATCCTGAATGGCCATGTCCTCGGGCTGCAAGCTCCAGTTCTCCTCGTTGTCGAGAGGGGTGAAGTCGTGGATGTTGCTCCAGTTGTTGTTGAAGATGCTCAAGCCGGCGTCCTTGAACTGGAAGGCCAGCTCTGGGTAGTAGTACCGGAAACAGCCGAACCTCATGCCAGTGGACGACTCAATGATGGGCTGGGTGGCACAGCACAGGAAGAAGTCCATCCGTTTGCAGTCGCGAGTGCGGAACTGCTGACAGGCCACGATGCACTTGCAGTCCTTGCAGTCGCGGAAAAACACGCTGCCCTTGATGGGCCCCAGGAATATCCTGCAGTTGGTGCAGTCGTCGATCGTGATGGTGGCCGAGTGGTCAAAAATGTACAAGTTGCAATTCTCACAGTCTTGGATGACGAACTGTTCACCGGCTACTTTGTCTGGCAGCCGTCCCACCGTCTGATCCTTCAGGCCGGTCAACATATAGTCCTTGACATCAACCTGTCGAAACAAGAACATAAGCCAGTTACTACACAGCGTCAACTTTGTAGGCAAAATGTAGTCACTGTATTATAAGAGCGCTCTGACTCTCTATCTTGTGTGCAGAGCGCTAAGTAATTGCAAGTTGTTTTTGTTGTATTTAAAGTCAGTTATCAATGTATTTAAGTGGAAACCATGAATGCACGAGGGAGATGGGAATAGAGAGGTAGGGGAGAGGGGATTTGGAGGGCAAAAGGAATATAAATAGCCGCGTGGACAAGTTCTGCTTCCGTGCTGTAACGCTCTTGTGTTTGTTCATTACACCTTGCATAGAGGTGTAAGTGGCTGAATGCCCAGCCGCCAATGGTGGAGCGGAGGGGGCGAGGGACGAAAGGAAGCTGGAGCTGGCCGCCCAATACTGCAGTACTATTTGAGCTCCACAGCAGGACAGGCGCTCACAGTCTAGGCCGACACGCCAGTCAATACTGCAGAGACCAGCATTGCTGAATGTGCTAATGTTTGGATACCATTAACTGAGTCCCGTCTGCCTGTTCAGTTGGACGTTAAAATATCCCACTGATAATGCTTCAAAGAAAGGAGAATCTCTGAGTGCCCTAGCCAACAACCTTCCAATAATTAAAAGCCGAGGCCTCTTACAAAATGCAACAGCCAGCATTTATACAGTGCCCTTCACTTATGGGATATTGCTGCCTCATTTGTTTACAAAATATACAGTCACTACACTTGACAATAATGCTTCGTTAGTGTGATGCGATGCGGTACTATAAGAATGTTAGTTTGCTTTTTTACATCATCGAACTAACGTTGATCAGTAATAGAACAGAAATTAAACAGGTCTATCGCTCGGACAAATCACAATTATTTTTAAACGGCTGCATTTGCTGCAGTGCCTTTCACGTCGGGGGATGCCTCAACATGCTTCACATGAATTACTGTAAAGTGTAGTGACTGTGTATTTTGTAAACGAATGGGGTAGAAATATACAGACAGCCATGAAGTGAGTAATCAAATTTATTTGACCCGCTCTGGCATCCCCCACCTCTGCAACACCGCCCGGCTCCGACACTGTCTCACGCCGCAGGCCGTCGAAACCCTCATACGCGCCTTCATTACATCGAGGCTCAACTATGCAAACTCCCCCCTTGTCGGCCGCCCCAACTCCTCCCTCCACAGCTGCAGATCATCCAGAACTCTGCAGCTCAGGTCCTCTCCCACACCAGGCTCCGTGACCCCATCACCCCCACCCTCGCCCGGCTCCACTGGCCTCCCACCCCCCAAAGAGCTTCGCAGGATGTACTGTAAAGTGCAGTGACTGTGTTTTGGGGGCAAACAGGGCAGCCAGTTTTCCCGCAGCACAGCATAATCAAAAAATTCTAATTTTGTCGGCGTTGCTGCTATTTCGTTCGTCGTGTCTGTGCGGGTGTTAGTATCACCTTCTCTGACCTCATTCCCCTGATAATAATAATCCTTGCACTTGATAGAGTGCCTCTACCCTCGTGCCCTCTGTTCCACCAACAGCGGATGGACTTTCAGCCACTACACCCCAAAACTCTGGAACACTCTCCTTCAACACCACTGCCTTGCCCCCTCCTTCCCCATTTTCAAGTGGCCAAAGCCCCTTCTCTTCAACGTGCTTACCGTTACCCCCACCCCCTGGCTCGGCATCAAGCGCTCTGGGACATACTATGTAAATGCAAGTTGTTGCTGCTCTTTCTCTACATCTTTCACATCGCTCTGCCTCAAGTTTCATCCAAATTCCCCTTTAGGGTTCGCCTTGGACAATTTTTCGCAATAAGGCAACCACATTGGCCCTATGAGTAAAAACACACGTGTATTGGTAAACTGGGAGGGGACGTAAAGTTCAGTAAAATCCATCCATCAGGCTTTTTTTGCCTTCCTCATCTTGTTCTTTTTAAATCAAGTGCAATACTTCCACTGTGAGTAGAAAAGGAAATGTGGCTTCCTGTGGTTAGTGAGGGGGTGGGGTACAGAGAAACCACTCTCGAGATGATAAGAACGTCTACTTTGCAAGTGAGGCCTCTGGCACTCCCTCTACTTCTAAGAAGGAAAGGGGGAAGAGCAGGAGATTATAATGATCCTTAATCCTTGCATTCGAATTGGAATAAGAAACGGAGCAAAGCCATAGGAGAAACATCCATATTTTAGAAAGAGTTACATTACTCAATCAAAATAATAGCAGTCATAAGAATGTTTGCATTTGATATAGGACCTCATCGTGCAATTCAAACATCTCAAAAGAGCTTCACGAGATTTTTACTGCAAGTTGTTGTGACTTTTTAAACAACAACAGCTACTTGCCTTTATATAGCACCTTCATTCAGGGCAGCGTCTCAGAGCACTTGAGTATACACAGGGGAGGAATAGCAGTTACAGGGGCCGTTGCGGAGCTCGAAGCGATTAGAAGACGCACGGGCCTCAGCAACAACAACCAATTGCAATTATATGGCGCCTTTCATGTCAGGAGGACGCCTCAAGGTGCTTAACAGCCAGAGGCGCACAGTTACTTTGCTTCTTTACATCACTTCCCTCGGGTTTTAAAAGGTTTTTCCATTTCCTAAATTATAAAGGTTTTCAGCCCTCGAGCAACTGAGCTGCCGAATTAAATTCAGCTGTTACACTATGACCAGGAAGTTGCCAGCTCTTGCAGTAGCTGACCACAACGTGCAGAGAGATGCCTCGCCTGCTCAACGGCTTCAAGCAATAAGTTTTCCTACGTCGGGGGCTGCTTCACTGATGTCCTTCGCAATACTTCAGCGGCCTGAACAATTTTACATTCGACGTTCTGAAAAAAAAAAATGCTACGCAGTTGCGCTCTTCAATTTTCTACGTGAATTTTTTTTGGGGGTGTCAGCCGGGTGTCTGGTCGTGGTAAGTGTCATGGTAACCCGTCACCAGGCTTAAGAGTTTCCATACCAAACTGAGAATTCCATGCATCCCACTTACACGCGCAAATGCTGGAGATCTTCATAGAATCATAGAATCGTACAGCACAGAAAGAGGCCATTCGGCCCATCGAGTCTGTGCGGCTCTTTGATTAGAGCAATTAATGTCAATCCCACTCCCCGGCCCTTTCCCCATAACCTGCAAACCCGTCCTCCTCAAATACCCCTCCACCGCGTTTTTAAAAGTAGTTATCGAATCGGCCTCGACCGCCATTTCAGGCAATGTTCCAGATTCGAACAACTCGCTGCGTGAAAAAATGTCTTCTCACCTCCTCTCGGCTTCTTTTAGAGACTATTTTGAATCTGTGACCTCGAGTCACCGACACACCCACCAGTGGGAACAGTTTTCCCCTTTCCAACCTATCAAATCCCCTCATGATTTTGAAGACCTCTATTAGGTCCTCGTAACCTTCTCTGCTCCAATGAGAATAATCCTCACCTCTCTTAGCCTTTCCTCATCATCACGGTCCCTCATTCCTGGTACCATCCTCGTAAATCTCCTCTGTACCCTTTCCAATGCCTTAACATCCTTCCTATAGTGTGGGGCCCAGAACTGGGGCAGTATTCTAACTGAGGCCTAACCAGTGTTTATATGGGTTAATCATAACCTCCTGACTCTTGTACTCTATGCCCCTATTTCACAGCCTGGTATCCCATTTGCCCCTTTTACAGCTTTATCTGCTTTATCTATATTTATTGGAATGTAATGCACACTCTCTCCCCCTCGAGGGATGCCTCCCGTTTACTTAATTGCAGAGAGTATTAAGCGTAGATTGGCAACAGCCAAGGCTTGGGGACCCCGGAATGTGTGTTGGGGGTAACTGGTGGAGTCTAACCAGCTAAAACCGCACAGCTTGCCATTGAGAGCGCTGCCTGGCGAGCTTTCCAACTGCTTGTCTAGCTGGGACCACCCTACTCTTTACGGCTTTGGTTTGCAGGGTTATCAGGAGCTGAGTGGGAATATTCCCTGTCCCCTTCCAAGTCTTGCCAATCAAACAGTTTGGCTGTGCTGTCATGAGCACTGCCCTGGAGTACTGCAGATCCGCTTAGAAAAGGACTCCCAAGATCTCCACACGGGGCTGGCTCGATTCCATTGCCAAACATGTCACCTTGGAGCTGGTTCAGCTGTACCTCCCCCAAAGGAGGATAGACTTACATGCAAAACACTGGAGACTGCCACTGAAAAGCCGTGTGTACGTTGTAACTCAACCATGCAGTGCAAACGCTCAACTGCTTTGTGGGAAGCTATATTTGGTCTGAAATATAAGTTTTGCAGTGGAAACAGAAGGAGAAAGACAGAGGGAAGAGCAGTCGGTTTACCAACAAAATGATGTCCACTGTATTCACCCTCTTCTGAGCATTTCTCCACCTGAAGTTTTCACAGCCCAAATGATACTTTCTATTTACCAAGAGGCATGAAATAATTGTTGGGTTTAAAATACAGAAAGATCAGACGTTACAGAACTGAACACTCAAGTTGCTGAGCTGTATTTGGCTCATGGTGAGGTTTTGGTGACATTGCGGGTCAATGCTGCGTACATAGTTAAGTTTCTCGGTGGGTCAATGTTGTTAGCAAGTTGTTGTGGTCAGTGAAAGAAAGGTATCATTAGCCTCCGGCTACTGTCAGCTTTGCTGAATTGGTAACACTCTCACCTCTGGGTCAGAAGATTGTGGGTTCAAGCCCTACACGAGGACTTGAGGTCACAATTGGGCTGACACTGTAGTCCTGTAAAATCCTTACATTGGATGCAACGCCTTTCACGTTAGGGGGGGCGTCTCAAAGTGCTCCGCAGGATAAAGTGTAATGACCGAGTAAATTCGTGGAGAGTCCTGTATCTTAGTGGTTAGAGCACTCGCCTCACAAGCTTGAGGTCCTGGGTTTGATTCCCAGCAAGGCAAGACGTTAGGCAAGTTTCCTTACTCCACAAGTCTCTGTTTACCAACAGTAAGTAGGAACCCGGTTGTTAGTCGATTGGCGGATCGCGTAATTTGGTCACTCAATCCACGACTGTTTGTGGGACGCCGCTGTGCACA